AATATATGATGTAAATTGGAGTTGACTTAACTGTACGTTTCATTCTTCTTTTACCTTGCATGTGTATGTTATGTACCAAAATTAATGATTAATGCAACAAGTCATGCTGTTAGGCTTGCCTAAGCTCTGATGTAATAGCATCACAATGTGGCTCACACAAATTCCATGCTGTCACGTTATCTCTGTGTAATTATGAATGAGTGAAAAAATCTACATGTACTAATTAGTGTTGTTGTAGTACCATAATTTTATATAGTTCTAGTACTAGTTCTAGAACTAGAGTTTGATAAAGTTTAGTTCTAGTACTAGTTCCGGAACTAGACTTTGATAAAGTTTAGTTCTAGTACTAGTTCTGGAACTAGAGTTTGATAAAGTTTAGTTCTAGTACTAGTTCTGGAACTAGAGTTTGATAAAGTTTAGTTCTAGTACTAGTTCTGGAACTATAGTTTGATAAAGTTAGTTCTAGTACTAGTTCTAGAACTAGATTTCAATAAATTTTAGCTATTGTTCTAGTTCTAGCTAAGTTATAGTTCTTGTACTTGTTCTGGCAATAGAGTTTAAGAAGCTTAGCTCTAATTGGAAATAATTTCTAAATACTGCTTCTTTTTTCTTCTGCTGTCATGCTTTAACTGCCTAGCTTTGAACTGAACAAGTATTCAAAAGTCTATTGATATACTTTATGCATTATAATCTATGTCTAATTAACAAATTCATACATTATTTGTTGTTCAGTCTTTGTTATGTACTAAAATATTTTACTGACAAATTAGTACCTTCTTTGTCAACAAATATTGTTCTACAATTCTAGTTCCAAACTAGTTCTAGTACCACAAGAGAATGTACTTTTAGTTCCAGTTTAGTTCTAGTACTGAGACTCTGGCAAAGTTTAGTTCCAGGTTAGTTCTAGTACTACAAGTCTTGTATAAGCTAGTTCTAGTTTAGTTCTAGTTCTTACATTGATTGTAAAAATAGTACTAGTTCTAGTTCTTGGAACTAGAACTATGAAAAAAAGGCAGTACTAGAATTGATTTAGTTCTAGTACCAAGGAACTACAACAACACTAGTACTAATGTCTAAGACTGCTAATTAATACATACATATGCTGCAATTGATATTGATTACTCAACCCTGACCCTGGCCTTTTACTTGTATAAGAACTTGTGCCATTTCAGTACATTGTGTTACTTATTGTTTTAATAGTAATATATATGACTAACAATTCCTCTTAGTGAAACTTGTGGAATCCATTATTTTATAATTTGGTGAAATTTGTCACATCTTGCTTAAAATAAATTTGCTGTTCATTGACATTATTACTTAATGGCACTTCCTTTATGACACAGTCACATGCAATTCACCACAACACTTCTCACTTTTCCTAATACTCTTGTCTCCTCTCTCTCTCTCTCATTACAGATGCTCTCATTAGTTCTTGTTGTTCACAGAGACTCGTGGCAGGTAATGATGATATTCATTATTATTTTACGTAGCTACATGAACATGTATGTTGTACAATGTAGATAGTTTGGAGTGCTTAATTTGGGTGAATTGCTGTGTGCCCATTGATCTCTTATTTAATCATACAATCTTCTCTCTTTTCTCTCTCTTCCTTTCCTCCATAAAGGAATGACACACGAGTGATATGCATTGGGTTGGATTTGGTGACTGTTATTTTGGAGTGTGGCGGGAAGAGTCTTGGGGACATTAAATCACTGAGAGTTCTCATACAAGACGGACTCTGCCATCACTTACTGTAAATGAGCAACTTTATGAAATACGTATTTCATTTTGTGTTAAATTGTATTTTGTCAGTTGCTTCAGAACGAATCTGTTGATGTTTTGGTCGCTCTTTGAGAAAGTGCTTTCTTCTTTTTAATTCAAATTGTCATGATCTCAAACAACAACTGGAGGTAAAGAAAGAAACACATACATGTATGTGGATCATTAAATACTTCTCTCTCTCTCTCTCTCCCTCTCCCTCTCTCTCTCTCAGTAGTTCCTTAATACGCTAAGGCACACAATACAATTAGATCAGTCAAGACTTCAAGCAGGCAGACAAGAGCTATCATTAGAAT